GCCGACACTGTTTCCTCTTATACCACAAGTATATGGACCAAGTCACCTTTGAATCACTCTTAAATTTCAAAGGCTCGGGGCAACCGACCCAATCTCGCTGACGTTTTGGTAAAACTTGGCACACAGTGGAAATCTGTTTCGTACAAAAGAGGACCAGATGTACTGGTGGTTTATGTATGCACCTACTCAACGCTCTGATAGTCCAATATTTCTGATATAGCCTTCCTCATTCCCATCCGCACTTTTCCAATCCTTTTCATACCACCCCTTTATTTTGGTTTCCCACAAACGCTCCCGCATCAGTACATTCAGTTGTTCCCTAAATAACGTCGTACCATTTTCCTTTTTTGTCCATTCGTATCGAACCTCCACGCATTTTGTCCAACCTCCACGCGTCTTGTCCTTCTTCTATCCCTTTTTCCTCAAATTTTTAACCCTTACCAGCCCCCTTTAACATCTCCTTCTACCAACCATATAACCTACTACCCAATTTTCTCACGAGAGGGTCCGCCTCTTCATAAATTTATACAGACATTCATTAAACATCCTTCCTGGGTAGCCTTGCAACCGAAGCTTCATCTTCGCTGTCAATGTCAACAGACTCAGCCCTTCTAATTCATCTGAGGACGACATCTGGCGATTCAATATACGGAACTCGTGATTACCACTTTATTTTGTCTCACTGTTAAGTACGATTCAAATATTGTGGAGTACGAAACATAAGTTTTTTGGATAGCTTTAGCAAATCACTTTATTGGTTTCTTTTTATTTCAATCTTCGTTTCTAAAATCCTAGGTGTCATTCCTCTCATTCGTCCTTTTCAACGTTACTCATTCATTATAGTATATGTGAGAACTGTTTCATGATTCTCTCCTTTTCAAACTTTTTTTTTTTTTTTCTACTTTTTAAAAAACATTGTCAGTCTTTATTAGACATCAAATTAAAATGTTAACATCATAAATAAAATGTGTTCCCCGCACCAAGTTCCTATCAGCTCTCAAACTTGCAAAATTTTGAATTCATTCATGACACGCAAAATGTCATAAAATGTATGTAAATGAGGCAATGTTACTCATCCCCGTTAGGATTCCAATCGGATGTTTAATTAACCATTCTAACATCATAACGAAGGTATGATTCAACTAAAACTCCACCATTGACTTGATCGTTCAAAAGTCTACTTCAATCTATGCATCATTATCCATCCTCCAAGCAACTAATGCTCCCTTGCCTTTTTTTTTCCCTTGTACCAGTCCAGTAGTTAGTCCACTGCATTCATAATAGAATCGTGAGGCAATTGAATGAACATCTCAAAGGCTGCCCCTATCAGTTTTCCTCTCCCTTGTTTTTTACCCACTTGTTCACCTCCTCGACTCTTTCATTGAATAACCAAGTGAATTTCAAAATAAAATGCAAAGATTTCGGACGCAAAATTAATAAATGATTCAAAAACCTCTTATACTAATCCTGCTCAGTGCAATTATTGATGGCTCAGAAAATGATGGTCTAATGGGCTGAAATCTGCATATATCCTTGAACTTCGGTATGATGTAGGCGCATCTAGATTGTCACGGTCCTTGTCTGCCTCATTTTTTCGACCTCTCCAATCCCCTTCATTTATATTTCGTCCCACTTCTCACCAATATTACCGCCTCCGATTCCTAGACAGCCGAAGTTGTGAAGTTTTCGTTTTTAAAAAAAATACTCTCAATCCTCTCTTATAAACCGTCGATACATTAAAATCGTCTCTGCAGTATTTCGGTTCACCGAAAAGTGGTCAAAACCTTAATCAACACCTTAATTTATGCCACATTTTTTTAGTAATCTCTTCTTCACCTCTTTCACATATTTCAACACTTTCTTCATGTCAACGCATACCCTCGGACCCATCTTAAAGAGGCTATCATTTACCACTTGCACCACCCTCGTTGAACTTCAAGGAGGCAATATAGAAGTAAAAACCCTTACAATGGTATTTACTCAATGTTTTTTTTTTATTGGACACTGTCAGACTATGCGCTTAATATTTTTTGAGGAAAAAACTTGAGAAACTGTATCTAAAAACTTAATCAGACCAAACCTACAACTAACATACTAAGTCGCGACTATACTAAAACATGACACTTCTCGGCATTGAAAACTATTTGTTATTGACCAAACCACCACTCTCATGCCCTAAAACACTTGGGAGGACCAACAACAATATTTCATTAGGCCTACCGGTAGCACAATCCTATATAAACTATTATAAAAAGAAAAATAATGAAAAATGTCAATTGGACATATAATGTTTTTTTACAGTCTTAAAAGTTTTATTCTTATTTTTTTTAATAGTTTTTAAAAAGATCAGCGCCTAATCTACGAGTTTTTCATTCCATCTATTTAGCACGAAAAATCATTGAACTCGGGGGACATTTCCCTGTGTCAATTTAGCATACACGTGGTAGCAAGAAATGAAGAAAATGTGCTGCATTAATTTCAATTAAACGATTTTTTTTTTTTTCTCAAGTTTGAAAAAATATATTTTTTATCAACAGAGCAAGACCTAGTGTGCATACTTTCCAATTTTCACATATTTTGGATTATTCTTTCGAGATTAAAAAATTGTCAAATTTTGTGGATTTTTTTTTTATAACCATTGTCGACTTTTAGTTTCTTCGCGCCTACCAACTTATAAAGTTTCAAAAAAGTCAGTTTTCGACTGTCAAGGATTGAGCGGTTTAAAACACGGTCGATTAAGAATCAATGTGTTCATCTGACTTCATAAGGATTTAAGTTTTTCCCTTCCTTTAAACCACCAGTACATTTGAAGAATCCAAATAAGCCTCGCTGAATAGTTAGGGGAATCAGGACAGGGACCGCTTGGGGGCATGTTTTTTTTTTTTTTTTCCAGGGTTGGACCTATAGCTACCTCATGACGTAGGATACAAATTTTTTATATTGGTCCTTCAAACACCTTGTCCCAAGCCTCCATAATTTTAGGAGAGACTCAATTGGATTCTCAACTTGGTTGAGACCATGTACTGGTGATTTAAGGCAGGAACCTTTCACTTCTCCATTTTTGTTGGTTATGAGCAGGCACATCATAATCAACAGACACAAAAGCATAATGGTTTCATGTGGTCGTTTAAGCTGCTAACGGGTACCCAAGCAGGGACATCTCAACTATTTAAGAACCCGGGATGAAATGGAAGCAAAAAATGGTTGTTGATGGTCTGATATTGTGTTTGGATCCATTGTGGGAGCGTCTATATCCCATGGTTGGGAATCAATCGCAGGGATGGAAGATAGGAGAGATAGAGAGGATGAAGTCAGAAGAAGAAAAGTAAAACTTTTCAGTTCCTCAACTCACAAGGCCGTGAATATTCCCAATTATAAAAAATTTGAGATCACGACTCATAATATTTATGCCAAGGAGAAAAGGAAGAAAAAGAGAATGAACGTGGTTTGGACACTTTCCCAAACGACGTTAAACCTTTGGCACAAACTGTTAGAGGTAATTGTTCGACTCTTGTTTTGTTGAAGTTTGCAAAAAACTAAAAGCACTATGGAGAAATGGTTAGGTGTAACTTTTTCGTACAACTTTTCCGTAACGTACTTACACTGGGAAAAGTGACAAAGTACTTCAGATTTTGAGAGACCCGAATACTTAAAAAAAAAAAAAAAAAGGCTCTTATCACCTTGCCAGGTGGGTAACCTCAAAAGAAGTTTCTACCGGAAAAAAAAAAAGAAAAAAAAAGGAGGTTGTGGGTTCAATTCCCACTGCCCACCTGCGGCACTCTTGGTGCCAACTAACTGAGATAGTTGGCTTGCTCCCCTGGTTCCATAGTGGTAGGGTATTTGGCCATCATGGGTGTGCGTGTAAGGGTTTGGCGGGGGGGGGGGGGRGAGAGTGTTGGGSGTAGACACTGATGGTACTCCATGGGAGTGGGTGGAGTAGATGAGAGGCACAGCTACTGGCAAAATGCTCGGTCTTTGCATTAGGCCCCCCCAACCGGCGGCCCACCCTACTCCCTGAACCACTGCCAATTAGGACAGGGGGCAACATTGTGAGAGGTAGCTATGCGTGCAGGGGTCCCCTGTATGGGCTTAGGAGTAGTGGTAGGTAGGTGGTGAAAGGTGAAATTGAGAGAAGAAAACACGAAACAAAACAAAAGCAAAAAAACAATCAGCCTACCGTAGGTCAGTCGGTACTCACAAGAACTGTTGAAATACAGACCCGTGTTGAAATCCACACGATGGAACCAGATGAACGAAACAATATTTCAGAGTTACATTGGGTGCGCTCAATACTACAGAAACTGCTAATTGTCATAAGGAATGGCCTGGATTGCAGGCCCATTACCATTACAGGCGGGCCAGATTGCATGCTAGTGAGAAATTTCTGATCGTCCGGCAATCTGGGTCGTTTGTGAGAACGGACGGCCTGGATAGCAGGCCGATCAGAACTTTCTTCATCGATGTAGGCCGTAAGGGTCCAGATCGTTGCATGAATAGTACCTGTTGGCCAGTACCACCCCTCCCGACCTGCCTGCGACTTGCCTTCGCTACGGGGCCTACCTGCCGAAGTCGACCTTGTCTATGTGTCCTACCCTACCCGACCTACCTGGACACTGGGCCTACCTGCCCTAAGCAACCTACCTGTACCTGCATTGCCGAACCTACCTGCCGTAAGCGACCAACCCTGCGTAGGTGGCCTACCTGCACTACCGGGCCTACCTGCCATACGCAACCTACCTATCCGGTACCTGCCCTACGCGACCTACCTACTGCTACCCGCCCCCCCCCTGCTCTCTCTCTCTCTCTCTCTCTCTCTCTCTCTCTCTCTCTCTCTCTCCCCCGCCCCCAACCCCTCGGTCCAACGTGGATAGGTGCTTCATGCTTTTTGGTGCTATGTACCGGTGCAACGTGAATTGGTGGTAAGTGAATTGATGGACCGTGAATTAGTGCTACACTCTACGTGCTACGTGAATTCGTTCTACGAATAGTGCAACGTGCTTGGAGCTGCGTGCTACGTTCGCCTCCTCTCTCTTCTTTCTCTCTCTCTACGAGCTACGTGACGTGAACTTGATTCTTCGCGCCACGTGCTTCGAGAACTTGGTGCAACCGTGAATTGGTGCCCCTCTCCCTCTCTCCTTTCTCTCGTCTCGCCGGCTCCCTCTCCTTAACGTGCTTCGTGAACTTGGTGCGTCGCGCTTCGTGAACTTCCACGTGGATTGGTGCTACTGAGCGTGAGACTTTGGACTATTTTTTCTTGCTGGGAGAACTTGGATGGCTTGGTCGAAGGCTTGCGCGTTGTTGGTTGAAGGCTTCGTCGACATGGCTGACTCAAGTGAGTCTTTCTCGCTCTTCCTTCCTCACCTCCCACCCACGCCCCAGCACCCAGGACCTTCCCGCTCATCGCTCGCTGCCGGTCCCCCCAACCCATTCGCTGCTCAAAGACAAGTGAACTATTTCTTTTCTTCTCCTCTCCCCCTGTCGACGTTCAAGCTGCTTGTTTTC